AGTTGCCACCAGAAAGACCAGGGACTCTATTGCTCCTGCTTTCCTTGCACAGACACTACTTGAATCCACAAGGTCCAATTAAGGGACTGAAGTGGCACAAAAAAATCTTCTTATAGCGGTAGTCTCTGGACACCAGTTCATTATAGGATGAGATAAGCACCAGTGTCAGAGTCAGAAATATGTGGCCAGGACTAAATGAAACCTTTAGATGAGGTTGGTTGTAACATCAAACCACAGCCTTATATACATGACATTTGTGTGAGACACTCCAGCACCTCTGCCACGCACTCTTGTTCTCCCATTGGGATCTATCTAAAAATAAAATCTACTGCTCCATTGGATGTGTTGGCAGCTGAAATGCAATTAGAGTGGGCAGCCCAAAACTGCAGGCTTGGTGACACCTGGGAGACAGTATTTCAGGGAAGAATCAAGATACGACTTCTGTACTACACTGCATTCCCAACAGCTGCCCAATAAATGACTGTGGCTATACCCAGGTCTTTGTATTCCCACCTTAAGTTTCCATTCATAAACCAAGACACAGTCATACAGTTCCAGATACTCCTCTTAGGCACTTGTATGCCTTTCCACAGTCAATAATCCAGGCCTTAAATTAAAATAATTAACACCTTAAGATAAATAGGAAGCTTTCCCACATCCTCCAATAGACTCATCGTGTCTACTCAACCCATCATTGGATATGCATCTTTTTTTAGGATGTGGAAGCCCTTTTACAGCCATCACTAATCACTATGAGCCAAAACAAAAACAGAAGTGCAAGTTCCATTATTAGAAGCAAAGCTACCAAATTTTAGGACTATTTTATGAAGACATACTCAGCCATCTGAAAGCGTTCACAGAACGCCTCACATGTCACACAGAAAGTGAGAACTTTAATTTATGCAGCACTTATTTCATCTCCCGTGCATAATTTTTTCTTCCCTCGACTTGTGCAATCCAGTGACACGAATGTCAGGCTCAACTAAAGATTTGCTGTTACAATGACAGCATTAGAAGTTAGGCATCCTTAGCAGTCTAGTGAGTTACAAGACGTTTCACCTTTTGATAATAAAATACTTCCATCAATATTGAACCTTTCACCCAAAGAACATCAATATACATCACTGAAAATAAAGCCATTTCCAAGAAACTCAGTGACAACTAAGCAGCAACACAGCAAGCCACATGAGAGCAGGAGCGAGCACTGCAGAGCCGCATGTGTAAGAAAACCCAAGATTTACTCAGATTTAGACCATGCATCAAAAAGAGGTTACTGCATGGGTACCATAACCAATAACGTTCTGATGACACCACCCATCCTCTACACAACACTGGATCCCCTAAGGAAATAGTTATAGGGTGTAAGGAAAGTAGGACCAACCTTACTCAGCTAAACAGCCAAATTCTTTGGAATATATTACTTGATAATGGTGAGACTAGAAACCTCCAGGAATCTCAGACCACAAGCCTATTAACTGGCCTTCAGCATTTCTCACAAATCTCTTTACACCTCTATGAAAAAAAATTGCAGAGATCACAGGGAAATGAAATCAAAATCACACTATCACAAGTACTCCAATATTTTTCCATAGTCTGGTGAACCGATGATGCACAGATAGCTCAGCCTGCTTACTGGAAATCACTATTTGATTTATTTCACAGATGTTTTCAGCACCAGTTGTGTTTAAAACTTCTGAATTACAGAGGATCCATAGGTGTACCTAGATAAACAAGCAAGATACACACTACCAATGGGAAAAGACAAAGCTCTCCTGGCAGAGGCTAGGGGAAGAAAGGTTGCAAATCCCTCTTAGGGCGCAAAGGAGCTGCCTGAGATTTACAGATGCCTCACAGCAAGATAAACAGCAGGCAGCCAATGCAGCCAGCAAAAGGTCTTGCTAAAGCTCCCTTTGTCCTTTCCGAGGATCAACAGGAATCTTGCTTGGATTCTCTTTATACACAGAAACATTATGAAAATGTCATTTTACTTCATGTTTCATTTTATACAGAGAAGGAGTCTTGATACTAGAAAAAGTTACAGGGAAGTAATTAATTTGTTAAAAGGCAAAAAAATAGAGTATTTGTAATGGATTTTTGCTTAACCAGAATAAATTTAGTGGAAAGAAAAACTGTTTTTATACTCCTAGATATGCATAGGAAGTTCGCCATAATATATTCTAGTTTTACTTGCGGAGAGTGAGATAACTTTGAGAAAAGTACCAGTATCATCAGTAGAAATGGTCAGAAATATGCATTTGTAACAAGAATCATAGAATGCGTAAGGTTGGAAGGGACCTCTAGAGATCATCTAGTCCAACCCCTGCACACGCAGGGTCACCTAGAGCACGTGGCACAGGACTGTGTCCAAGCGGGTTTGAAGATCTCCAGAGAAGGAGACTCCACAACCTCTCTGGGCAGCCTGTTCCAGTGCTCTGGCACCCTCACTGGCAAGAAATTTTTCCTTAAGTTCCTGTGGAACTTTTGGTGCTTCAGTTTGTGGCCATTTCCTCCAGTTCTGTCAGTATGACAGACTATGACTATGACTGACTCCTTTCTTGACTCAAACTTCCCTCATGTCCTCAACATTTCAAAAATTATAGGGACCAGCCTTGCTATGACACTGGCCAGGTCTCTCAGCATCCTTGATCGGGTACCATAGACTTATCTGGGTCAAATTCTCCCAAGTAATTCCTGGCTCAATCCCTGCTCCTTCTTCGTAGTTTTTCTCCTCTGTGAAACATGCCTCTACATACAGAGCTGTGGGATATCTTCTTGATGAGGTGGAAAAAAAGACATTTTGATATCCCTTCCAAGAAGCAGCTCCAGGTGCAAAGCTGTCTTCCTTAATACCCATCATACTCCGGTAAGAGTTCTAAATTCCTCCTTTAGAGCCTGTCGCTGCTTCCATCTCCCATGTACCATGTTTTTCCACTGGAACTTGTCATGAGCTTCGTGTTCAGACCATCTCCTCTCTGTAATGGAATATTAGCTTTCCAGATATCCACTAGGCTAAAATGAATTAAACCATTCCCTTTGTCTGTTATGACTATCATGCACACTCACAAAAAGCACTCATAGTCTGGCCAAATTACTTTTCATCAATATTGCTTTAGGAATTATAGATATACTATAAAGATTTTACACTTGTTAAATATTTTAGTGCATTTAATATTACTGAAAAGTCAGAAAATGATTCAAGCAAGCAAAGATGTTTTAAGACATAGTATTTAGATGTCAGATTTCATTATAAGTGTATGTAATTTCATTTTCCCTCCCCAAACCAAAGTCAATAAATTCATCATATATTGGCAAGCAACTAGATACACGTTCTTTCAAGTAATGTAATACAATAGTCCTCAAGCAAAAGAAGAAAGGGTTATTTTGAGCAGCTTTAATGTTTTTCCCTCTGGATATTTTTTTTTTGTTTTAATTTCTGTAGAAAAGTGCCATTTACCTAGAATATATTAAGATATAATTGCAGGCTACCAAAAATGTCAGGTCTTAGCTGCGCAGCTGATAGTTCAAAGGCCAGAACCAGACTCCAGTACAGCAGCTTCCTTGGAAAACTCTCTTGCTAAGCAGTCAGCGATGTCGTTTGATAGAGTAACAAGTCACGGCCACTTAAATCATGAGCAGGAGGGCAGGGGCTCTCTAAAGTCATGTCTCTTGTTAGGGCCAGTGGCCTAATCAAAAAACCCAGACTCAGCTCTACTGCAGCACAACACCTTACATGGAAGGTCCCCAAAACTGGGATCCAGCCCCAGAGCCACCAACACAGTATGAAGCCACCAGAGAACTAGCTGTGATGAGTGCTCTCCCTGTCACACCATCTTAGCAGACAGACAAGTTAAATTTATCTATAGGAAGAATAAAAGGGTGGACTGGTCTTAAAGCAGCAAAGAAATTCAATATTTCATAATTCTACCTCAAAAAACATACAATTAAAATGTATGGTGTGGAAGTATGCACTTAAGTATAATTTAATGCTCTTAAATACAAATCACCTTAGCAATAAAACTGAGGAATAACCTTGACTGCACTTTCCTGGGAAATTACAAACACTTCACCTAAATTACTTGTTCTTAATGCAGAAATAAGCATAAGGTTTCCCAAAGCTTACGAAGTGCCGAGCAATTCATTAAACCTTTCAATAAAAGACAGGAAAAAGCATACAGCTTTTTCCAATATGCAGAAACAAAACTAAATGACAAGATATATCCAAACTGTGAAGCAGTAAACTGCTGAAGTCTTTTAGCCTTCATCTCTAGCCACTGCATCCCAAAAATTACAGTCCCTTAATCACAAGGCTACTTCCATATCCCGTGTTTGAGAGGAAAAAACAAGGAGCATCCTAAGTGAAAACAGCTGGAATGTACACACATTGCTGCAGAGAAAAGATATACAACTTATTTCCTATATTTTGTTCATCACAACAAGATAACACACATACCAGGAGAAGGAAGTAACTGGGAAAGAGAGGGACAGAGTCTCACAGTTCATGAATAAAACTACATCTCAACTCCATCCAAAAATATATGGAAGGAAACCTTGAGTTTCTAACCAGTTTTAAGGAGTATAAAGCTACATTTCCTAAAGTCAGGTGACAGTTTAAGTTGTTACTTGTCTTCACTATGCCAGAGTCCTCCCCTTTATAAAAAGGAATGAAATCCTCCTTAGAGATTCTAAATCTCTAGATTAGGGATGCCTGGGAGCCCCAGTACTTGTAAAACAAATTGGGCTGGATTCTGCCAACATCTTTAGAACCTTAGATGCCCTATGCACCCACATGTTCCTAGAGGGCAGTTCCTCTCATTGCAAATTAGAATTTGAAACTGAGACAGAGGCAATTCAACTGTCAACATGTCTTTGTAGTCTAGAAAAAAGACAAAATATTAACTTGGAAGATCTTCTCTATGAAATGACGATGAGTTCTCTACAACGATCTCAAAGACACACTCCATTTTCTTGCTCTGGTTGAAACATGGAGGAGATGGGCATACCTGCACCAGGGGCCGATCGCTGCTGAGGATGGGCTCTTCCACTGGGCGAAGAGGGTTCCTTCATACGATCGATGACATTGTCAGATAGCTGAAAAAAATAATCCCCCACCCCAAAAACAGTCAGACAGCATCTTCCTACTATCCCTCCTTTAGAGAAAAACTAATAAAACTTTAAAGGGAGAAAACCCACAGACTCAGATATGGTAGCAGCTTAAGATTTTATCAACAACGTAGATGTCCAGTTTCAAATGTGTTTCCCCTGTATGGTGATCAACTCCCACCCCCCCAGGAAAAAGGCTGAAGGTGAGAGAAAACAAGAATTAATATAAATCACCCCCCCGAAAAAAGGCTGATGGTGAGAGAAAACAAGAATTAATATAAAAAAGTAAACGAAGTAAGAGGGAGAATAAAGGAAACTTTACACGGCCCTTTGCCATGTTGCTTTTAACTCATCAGCCTTTTTGCCTTTCTCAGCTGTTACAGCTAAATACCACCGTGTACGTTGTACAGTATTAATCAGAGAGAAAACTTCATCTTTATGAAGTCCTTTAGACACATGTGTAACACAAGTGATAACAGCCAAGTCCAGCCAACCAGCAAGTTCAATCTAACACTGACTTATGCACATATAAAATACTGTCATAAATCACCTGGAAGGTGAGAGAAAGTAAGGCCCAGTTACTGAGAAAAGTAGGGCCCAGTTTCTGACCTAACCCAGGCCTTATTTAACATAAGTTAAAGCAGTAATAACATAAAAGTTCCATTTTCTATTTTCAAACTATCGGTTTCCTCACACATCTACTCCTTAAAAAGACTGTTTTGACCATACAGGGAAAACTTGTTTCAGTTTGCAATTTATCTTAAAATATTACTAAACTTACAGCATAGTGCGTTTCAGTGGCAGAAACCCTTCTTAGAAAGCCCCTGCTGAAATTTATAACCCAGTTCTACTGGGTTATAAACATTATAAACAGTTGTTATATAAGTTGTTATAAACAACTCTGAACATCACCCAGCTCTACATAGACCCATTCTAGATGCAGCATTTACCAGTGCTTTTTAGCAAAACTTTATCTTCCTAGCATCCATTATATTGTTTGTTTTTGATTCCCCATTTTCCCAAATCCAGGATATTTTAGAGAAATTTCCACACTACTTTGCAGTACCAAAGCAGCTGGAGCAAGTACCAAACACCTTATTTTATTCTGCTCCTGAGCTTGGCGTGCTTTGAAGAGGATAGAGTCCCTTCCATGAAAAGTTACGTTATTGCAAAATATTTGTGTGAAACCATTAAGTGACCAGAAAAAAAAAAGAAGACTGCGATAGGCCACAATTATTATACTTGTTCCGGCTACAACAGTTTCCTCTGAGAGCAGCAATAAAGCTCAGCTCTTCTTGTTACTATCTACGCAGCACATTTCACTGAGAAAAAAATAGCTTTTATGCCAAAAGTCTTGTCAAATGTGCTGTGCCACAAGAAATCTGCCTTCTGGGCCAAAGATGCTCTAAGTAGAGGGGAAAAAGGGAATGTTCCTGTGGGTTCACAGAGGATCATATGCTAAACGTGGGACACATGGGAAGAAAGGGTCAGAGAAAGGCATCTCCTACAACTGTGCTGCCTCGCTGGGGGCCAAGGGCTTCCTGATCAGGGCTGCATGCCAAAAGCCGCCTTTCACTGCACCCAGGCCCCCCGGCCTTGGAATTAAAAATAATTTAAATTAGAAATAGTGAGAATAAAGGAAGGGCGAAGCAGGGGGAGGGAAGAGGGAGCGTCGGGGAGGCCCGTGGCCCGCGGGGCAGGAGGCAGCAGAGGG